CTGGGTGCCGAGGCACCCTGAAGTGCCGTCAGCGTATGCCAGTGGTGCCGCGGCAATAATCAAGAAAAGTCAGCTCAAAGTTGTGAAATTATTAAAGAAGGCATGTAGATATTTAAAAGTTGAAAATTTAATTTGTCTCCCCTCGCCACTGTCAAAAACAGGTAATTTCTTGTTTGAGAACCGCTGCGTTAATGCATCGTTAGCCCGACCTGGTGACGACAGCAGCACGGTCCGTCAGCTAGAGCCGGTCGTGAACAAACCCTTTTTTAATACATGTTTGTGTGTTTGTTTGGTCTCTATAGACTCGGAAACTACTGAACCGATTTAGCTGAAAATTTCAGGATATGTTTGTTGTGATACCGGATTTTGAACCGTCGTGGTTTGAAATTCAACCTGTCACTGTTAGAGATTTGACCACAATTTACAAAATATACGCAACTAATATTTAAACTTTAATTTCTAATTTAGCCAACTGGTATTTTCGAGTTACGTGCAGCCAACAATGGTCGTGGTGTCATTTGCCACAATAAACCATATTAAACACGATTTCTATTTTCTGTTTTTTTTTATGACTATCTCGACGTCGGCGCAGACATTGACTGCGTCATTAACTTCATTAGACAGGTGCCCCTTTTTTCAGGGTACTAGGTATTTAGTTGTGGGAGGGGGGGGGGGGGGGGGGGGGGGGGGGGTTACGCCCACAGCAACGCCTGGCTGGGTACAGCTAGTAAAAATAAAAATGGATTTCGACACAATGGTCTTGTCATGTTATTGATAGAGACTGCCCCTTCCGTTTCAGTTTCCTCCTACCGAACAGGTGATTACTGCAATTTACGAATGCAGTGAGCAGATCGTTAATGTCAAACTGTCGTGACAATCACGTGGCCATCTTAAATATTTCGTTATCAAGTATACAGCGTTACCATCGTTAGAGTTTGTTGCGTATCCTTTACAGGACGTTGCAGAACCAACCCCATAATTTTTTGGCGGTTGTGGTTTTTCTACGTAAATTTTACGTCCAGTAGTTTGCCATTGCTTACTGGACGGACGGTTTCTCATTACCACTGTCGAAACCAAGGCAAGGCTCAAGGCGCGCAGCTGGGATCGAACCCGGCACCCCGGCATTACGAAGCGCCTTCTCAACGCCTAAGCCACAGGCGCTGACGTTACCATAGTAAGTAGACTTTGTATTTTGTGTTTTTAAGTAGAGAGGCTAATTTTATGCTCCATTTTAAATCTAATGTAAATATGTAGTGATGCAGCGAAATATGCCAGGAGGGGCCGCGTTAGCGCAGTCGATATGAGACTCGCTTTTGAATCCAGCAGCGACTCGTTGCAGTCCACGGCCGGTGTTCGAAACCTGGCGGTTTCTTTGGTTCACCCAGCCTCTAGGAAATAGGTACCAGAGTTAACACTCTGAGGTGAATGGAGGAACGTCGCTGTAGCTACGGAGTTTCGTGCGAACGGTCCGGCGGACAGTTTCTTATCAGCTGTCTGTACTGATGGCAGAGCACTTATGGTTTATAACCCCGTTCAATGACGCTGGTTCACATCTCCCGACTTTACTTTTTCTTTTAAAAATATGCCAGGTAATTAATTGTGCAATGTATTGATTGTGGTTGCATTCAGTTGGTATAAGCGTCGAATGCTATATTTATTATTTTGAGAAGGATTTGACATGCCAGCTTTGTGTCTACCTTACAACAGAACGTGTGAGGTAAGGGACCCTTTTCCAAGCCTGTCAGGCGTATTGGGTATATAGGGCTAGACCTATATTTTATAGACCAAACGGCACAAGATGGGTGATGTGGTCAGCATCACACCGGCCGCCTTTACTTCCAAGGTCTTACCTGGTACCCACTCAAGGCTAGATCGACCTGGGAGGCAGGGTTATTTCTGAAAAAAACATTATGGCTCTCGTCAGGGGAATTAGCCCACGACCTTCCGATCCGCATGGGAGTGTCTAGCTGCTAGTTCACGGCAGCTTCTAAAATAGAACATGTGAAGGGGTAAGAGGGTACAGGACAACGGAGTTACTGCTTTGGGACGACATGATGATCTTCACACACAGTGGGGATTCTGTGGATTCATGATCTGAACGCCGGTTCGGGCATCTGGGAAAGTGCCTTGTTGGTTTGCTGTCTAGTTTGCGACTTTTAAATCTCAGGATGGTATTTTAGACCTTTAGGTTAAAGCCCGGAGGGGATAAACTGATGGATCGATAATTCTGCCTCCATGTAAATTCCAATCAGGACATTCATGGAGTTAGGCAAGCGTTCAGGAAATAAACGGCTACTGCTTCCTTATTTTACGCAGTGATGGAAAATATACACATATAAACGTTTATACATATAATAGTATATACATTTAACTTTACGCATACATATAGAGCATACATTTTGGAGCATAAAGTCACCTTTACACGCAACATGATAACACGCATAGAGGAAACACAAATTTTCTTTTACAAGGGCAACATAGATTAAACTTTACACAACAAGCGGAAGACAACAAAATAACTGTTGCAGGTACAAAGACGAAATGTAAACTATATACATAAATTATTTGTTTGTCATACAACGAAAGGTAAAAATGTCATACAACGAAAGATAAAAATGTCATACAACGAAAGATAAAAATGTCATACAACGAAAGATAAAAAATGTCATACAACTAAAGATTACATAACATCGACATGTACAGCGGAATAGTCGTAAATTATTCTTTAAATTACTTATGGAAATAGTTACCAGGCAGTTTAGGAATGCTCTGGGAGTCCAGATTTGACTATGTATTTAGAGCAGGATAACTGTTGTAACAGTCCTTAGTGAAAGCTTCTATTGGTGAGTGATCCTCCAGTGCTACATTGTCCGCATTCATAGATAGAGAAAACCCCTGTTTGGCTCCAGCATTGTAGTAGAGCTATTAACGTTAAACGATTGTAGAACCGCTGCGTCATCGTTAGCCCGACCCAGTGACTTCAGCAGCACGGCCCGTGCTTCACATTAGTAAAGAATCTTCCAGCGCTACAATTTCTCTGGAGCTAACGCTGCCTTAGACTCTTTAAATATAAAGTTGGACACCAGACCCAGAGCCGTTTGTCATAGCATCGCTTTAGAGGTCCCAGGAGTTAGTGTCCTTTGAATATTGTCTGCAGGTCTTACCTGTGTGTCAGGAAATGAGCAGGCAAATAGGCTGGCCGGTTGTGCACCACTTGGTGGTGAACTGATGTATGTCAAGCTAGATTTTGTGTGGACCGTTTAGGAGCGAGTGAACAGTGCCGATGAACAAAATAGATCATCAGGGTCTGGAGACAATGGCGCTGCGAGGAATGATCAGGGGTTCTGGCTGACGCTCAACACTCAAGTGAATGGCGATACGGATATACAGTCAGACAGTTACTGGTGCCTTTGGAATTGGAACTCTTCGTTTTCCGCTGAAGATGGAGACGGAGCGCTTACGGGAGTACCCCAAGTGCTGTGACGTCGATTCTTAATTCAACACCCAACCCACGACCGAACAGTGTTATATAGCTCTAAACGTAGAGCAAGATAACTGTTGTGTGTCAACTTAGATGCAGCTTTCATTAATGAATATTCTTCCAATTATACAGTAATGGCGGTCATAGATATGTGATTTGAGGAGAAGGATGAGATGGTTATCAAGTTCTAGACGCCACACTGTCAGGCTCTTCTGAAGATGTTGGTCGTCCATCACGAGTGATGAAGACCTCTTTCATCCAAAGTAGTAATAATCAATAATTATGAGTACGAAGGTGGCTGATTAGTCCAATTTGAGCCTGGAAAGTTCTTGAGCAGGACGGACAACAGGTGGAAGCCGCAGTAAGTGTGGGATTAGAAGCGCGATTCTTTCTAGTCTGCCTCTGTTTCTCTGCTCGTGCAACCTCCGCTTATTGGCAGGACGATGCACCATGTGTGAGAAGCGTACACCATTCAGAACGGTCTTGTGCAGCAGCCTTCCGCGTCGCTGTGTTGATGCCAAAAGAATAGAGAGCAATCGTGAGAGTGTCCTTATAGCGCTTTTTCTGTCCTCTATGGGACATCTTCCCTTGCTAAAGTTTGTCCTAACATATAGAGAACTATTACTGTTGTATATTTCAGAAGAGGTAATTTCTTCTCTAGTTTGTTCTTCCAGTGAATATCGTCAATCAACAGGTACTCTGCAGAACGTCGCTCTCGGCACAGCATACCTTAAAGCCTCTCTTCCTCTCTGGCGAGCTCTCCAGCCCTATGTGCTTTTATGGCAAATGCATCTTTAATGTCATGTATCCACTTTTCAGGAAACTGTACCCTCCGTCTCCGTATTCTACAGGGCACCACGATGTTTAACAAAGACAAAATACATCAGCTTTCGGGTCAGGATGCTGTTTATGAGCCAGTTCTCCTCGATGCTCAGATCATGTAGGATATCGGTCTTCCAGTGATTCACTGTTGAGAAGCACAGACAAGTGGTTTATCTCAGATTCTGCACATAACATTGCTGTAGAGCTATCACAGTAGAACATACTTTTAGACACTGGATCCAAACACTTGCCATACAGTTCTGTATGTAGAGCAAGATAACGGTTGTCTATCATCTTCTTGGAAGCAGGTTCTTGTAATAAATGATCTTCCTGTGCTACACGGTCTGCTAGACAAACGATTCATAAAAGTTTTCAGACTCTGGACCCAACACTGCTGTTGAACATAGTTTTTGGCTGGATTCAACACTGCCATAAAGTTCTGTGTGTAGAATAAGATAACGCTAGTCTATCTCCTTGGAGGCAGGTTTTTATAATAAATGATCTTCCTGTGCTACACAGTCTGCCGTCGAAGACAATCGATCCATGAAGGTTCTCACTCTGGACCCAACACTACCATACAGTTCTGTATGTAGAGCAAGATAACGCTAGTCTATCTTCTTGGGAGCAGGTTCTTGTAATAAACGATCTTCCCGTGCTACACAGTCTGCTGTCGAAGACAAACGATTCAAGAAGGTTCTCAGACTCTGGACCCAACACTGCCATACAGCTCTGTACGTAGAGCAGGATAACTGTTGTATATTTCTTGAGAAGCAGCTTCTATTGGTGAGTGCTCTTCCAGTGCTACATTGTCGGCGATCGAAGACAAGCGAATACCATCAGCAGCACTATCGCTGGAAATGTTGTTGTCCGTATGACTCGGGCTGGTATCGCTCCGCCGATGAAAGGTCAAATAATCAGCGTCGATGACCACGTTGGTGCTGTCAATTTTACTGTTGTTATTGAATGGTTGAATAATTTGACTCTGAGAGCGCCGACAAAACCACGGCTTGGAAAAGACGACTTTGACCAGTTGGGTTCTGAATTTCTTGGCGCTGAGGAAGTAAAGGACAAAGTTCACGGAGAGGTTAAGGTAGGTCAGGACTTGGGAGGTCCTCTGAAACAAATGCCAGCGAGCACGCAGGACTGGGGTGTTCCAGGAGATGGCGTAGTCTATATATGTATACAAGAGGACACAGTTGGGAATGGTGAGGATTGAAAAACAAACCGCGGCTACGAGCATCATGACAGTGATGCTGTTCTCTAATCTAGCGATTTCCTGAAGAGGTAAATTATTTGAGCTTCTTCCTGTAGTTAATCCCGCGCTCTGTTGTTCGTCCATTGACGATAAGCCCATTCTGGAGTGGACCCGCCCATTAAGCGTCTGCCTGTCCCTGTGGATTTTTCGGAGCTGATATGAGATTAATGAGATGATGACCAGGATGAAGGCCAAAGGTAGGCCAGCGTAAAACAAGTTTCGTATTTTGTACATTTTAATGTCGTTATAACCCAGAGTCCAGGTGGCGCTGTTGTAGATTCCGAAAACCAACAGTGCCAGGACGACAGCGCTGATTCTTGCGTGCGTGAGGGTGAAATAATATCGTTTATGAAGAGGGAATCGAACCGTTAGGTAGCGCTCTAAGCAGATTAGCACGAGTAGCCAGTTGGAGTATGAAATACTGATATCATAGAGCATAATGGAAAGTTCCCAGGAGGCCGAAGCGCGGTTATAGATACCATATTTATCCGCATATTGCACCAGAACCTGGATACAAATAGCGATCAGATCAGAAACTGCGAGCAACCCCACAAAGAAGGTTGCCGTTGAAGCATGTAACGACGCAATAGTCAGAATCGCCAGTCCGTTACCAACGATTCCTGATACCACCGAAAACCAGAATCCGGTTATCCATATAATATCAGCGGCATCGCAGAGTGTTTGAATAGTATCGATCTCGTCAGGGGTTTGTATCGGTTGACATGTTGTGAGGTTAATCTCCAGTTTTGAGCAGCGGAAATGTTGGAAGTAGACCGTTAGGTTCAAGGTGTTGTTTAAACAAGGTATCGCCTTTACGTAAGCCTGGGCCATAGTTGCTGCACGTCTCACGCCCCCCACAAGGGCCGGATCAAACCTAGGTTTACAAGCTACAACTTGGAGCCCTAAATCTTTGAAGAGTCTTCAAATTTGTAGTACTGGTGAGTCTGACTGCACATTTCCCGAAAGCTAGACCCCTTCTTTATGAAGTACTAAATAAACCACAAATTGTCAGTGGAAAGTTCAAAAGGGAGAACGGAAAATGCAGCCGAATATTTTCGACCTAAGTCTTTATCAACGTTTCTTTACGATTTTATAAATATCAATGAAATTCTACAAAAGGCTCGCACAGTTGGGTAGATTTTGCTATTTAACAATAAAAGCAAAGCCATTATGTAATGTGAAATTTTCTCGTGTCAGTATTTACAGGGCCTCACAGCTGTATAAAGCTTGGCCACCTTGGGGCCTCTAGAGATAGTCGGCGTTTTGGGTTAGGTGTAGTCAACGCAGTTTCCCAATCCCGACATAATAGGCTCCGACTTCAGCTGTACGCGATTTGGTGGCAGAGCGCCTTGTGTTCTTGTTTAGCAGTTGTGTGGAAATGTACTATTCAGAAAGAAGTTGCACAATACCCAGCGTAAAACTTAGTCTTAATCGAGGTGTCGGCCTCACTGCAGTCGGATTTTCCCATACTTGTTCCGTTCCTGTGCCAGTCAAATTCAATTGAAACGTTCTTCACTGTCCTGTCTGAAAAACTAGTGAAATATGCATAGGCAGTAAACGCATATGACAGATGCTAAAGGTGCCAAGGCCAACTGTCGCCACCAGAAATGCAGTTTGTCGTTGAAGGAAGTAGCCGGGCACGATAAGGTGGCTACACACACGCAGAAATATCATGTAGAACCACACAACGGGCAAGAAATGCAGGTCACAATCCTTACCGGCACAGGCCTGCAGGTTATCTGGTGCAGCCGTTAAGAGTGTCCTAGTTCTGACTTCTTTAGGCAGACAGGTAATCTGATGCAGCCGTTAAGAGTGTCCTAGCTATGACTTCTTTAGGCACACAGGTTATCTGGTGCAGTCGTTAAGAGTGTCCTAGTTATGACTTCTTTAGGCAGACAGGTTGTCTGGTGCAGCTGTTAAGAGTCCTGATTATGACTTCTTTAGGCAGACAGGTTATTTGGTGCAGCCGTTAAGAGTGTCCTAGTTATGACTTCTTTACGCAGACAACTTGGCTGGATTGTGTCTACTGTGAGATTTACAGCAACTGCACAAGGCAGAAGTGATCTCTCGTCAGCGGGGAGTTGACTAAAACATAGGATATTGTCCACCGGCAGCTGGAGAGAATCATGCAGCAGAAAGTGTCTGTGGACTCTGGGCGCCACTAGAGACTTGGAGGAGAGGCAAGACGAGTAGTTAAGCAAATGTAGTTACGGATGCTATCAGTATGAAGAACCTTGGCTAGCTGTTGATGATGGAGACGGAGCTAATATGAGCTTGTCATGATTACCTAGTTAAGACTTCAACTGGAGATAACCGGGATGTATCCTGCAGTTTGCTGTCCAGACTGACTTTGTGTTTAAGCATGGTGCGTCAAAACTTCAGGTACAACACAGGGGGAAGAAAACAAATGCAGACAAATTCGACCATCCGTAAACACTGCACGAAATATTTAATCAGGCGCCGTTTTCAGGATGAGTTTTACTTGAAATGGATCGGCAGAGTTCTGCCTCTTGCCTTTACTGAATACTTTCTCAAGCTCGTATTTGTTCATCTCCTGTTATTATTCTTCGACTTCAGTATTCAAGAGGAAATAAGCCTTTAATGACTATACGTACGCTGCAATATTTCCTTTTAGTTATTGTGGTGCGCGGCAACATTCACTACGTCAGATGTTCAAATTGTATGCCAGACTTTTTTGTGTTTTTTTGAATATACTTACACAAAACGTGTAAATTTATACAAATGGAAACGATCTAACCACACGACTTGCATTGGTTGTGACAACACGAGTCACCCGTTCACATCTTCAGGGGCTTCTAAATCGCCAGAAATGTGTAAAACTTCCCTAATAATGAAATTAACTTGAACTTTTGAAATTCAGTATCACAGTTATCATTTTGCAATTCCACGAAAAATTTACTGTTTTTATCCATTGGGAATACAACAGTTTTATACTCCCATGCTGTCGACTCGACTCACAACGAGTGTAGATGACGAAAGAATTTGGTTTGTTAATCTCTTTACTACGAAAACGAAAATCGACCACATACGTTCTTCAGTAAATACACGAACTCCATTTAAAATAACAGTTGACTGGGCGATATAGTTAGAAGTTGTTACTCTTGCTGTTGCATATATTTCTGCTGCTGTTGTTGCAACTGCGGCCAAAAAAGACAGTATTGCCAGTCGAAGCTGCTGCTGCTGCTGCTGCTACTGTTTCAGTTATCCCTGCTGTTCTGTTATTCAGGTTGCCTGTGCTTCTGCTGTGCAGCTAGGTACACGACTGTCTCAATGAGATGACACATGGATTAGCTTTCTCTTCCACTTTGCCGATTGGAAACCCGTTATAGTAGTTTTAGTTTGCCAAATGGTATCATCATCCAGCCTAGACAAACACTGCGCAGTTGAATGATTTATTTACGTGCAGATGCATCACTTAATGTGCGCGCTGTTGTAAGTAATCACAAGATGATAGATGGGGCTTCTGAGCTGTTGAAACCCTGGATCTGTTTATCCTGAAACAATAGACAGAAAACCGTATAACGGTCAGACAGATGTTTCGACAAAATAATTACTTTAGCTTGTTGGTATCAACAATACAATGTTATTATTTAATTATATTCTATTCGCTGCTGTAACTTTTCTTTCCTATGTTTCTTCTTTTTGTCCTCTTTCTATCGTCTCCTTCTTCAGTTAATCTTTTATCTCCCCTGCATACACCCTAACCTCCCCTCCTCTATACCCACTACCGCCACCATCATCAGCACGTCTCCTTTTTCCCTCCTCCTCCTCCTCTTCCTCCTATATCTTGGTTTTATTATTTATCCCCCTGTTCTTCTTCGTCTTCTGGTCGCTCTTGTTCTTCTGTTCCTTCCTAGTCTGTTTCTCCCCCCCCCCCTCCGCAGAGCCTCCTTCTTGTCCTCCCCTCCGTCTTCTCCATCTAAATTTTCTTGGCTTTCCTCATCCTCAGCTTCATAGTCGTTCTCCTTCTTCTTCTTTTTTCTTCTTCGCCTTCGTTTTACACGATGATGCGAAACACATGACTGCATTCAACTACTGCAGTTGTCAGTCGGAAGTTGTTGACATGTCAGTTAGTTTATCCAGAAATGGCTGTAGGCCAGAATACTTTTTCTGCACAAGTTACACTTCTGTTTATTGCACCAATTGCACAAGTTACACATGGGGTGCCAACACAAAGAACACACTCAGTGGTAGGGTGGCGTGAGGAGGGTCAGGGAGCTAATTTCTTTTTCAAGTTTTTAATAACAATTAAAATGTGCGGAATGGCTTCTTCTTCTTCTTGTTCTTCTTCTTTAATTTCTCTAGTTTTATTTTTCCATTTCTTTGAGGTGGGGGTGTGGGTGGGATGGGGTGTGGGGGGGGGGGGGGCAGAATGTAAGAATTTTCTGGGTGCCCTTTCAAGTGCTTTGTGTCAGCTGGTCTCCAGTCCCTAAGGCTAAAGACAAGTATGTATAATGGTAAAGTAAAGATCCCTTCTCACGCCCTGGGCGCATCGGGCATATAGGAAAAGCATCCATATTTTTACAGACCAATCGGCACTAGGTGGATAATGTGGTCAGCATTACACCTGCCGTCTTTACTTCCCAGGACATGCATCCTGATACCAATTTTAGGCTACCATGATAAAAATGCACGTAGCCAGCAGTGGGTTTAGATCCCGGTACGTTGGAATTACGAGTCGGGCTCGCAGTGCCCAAGCCACTAATGCGTCAAATAAGTATAATTGTATGTTCAAAGTAATAGAGACAACCGACGTGGTGTAGACTCGAAGCTTGCCTGCCCATCAAAAGGGAGCCGGAAGTAAAGGCGGTCGGCGTGATGCTGACCACTACATGTCACCCGATGTGACAAAACAACGGAATATTTCAGTCCGGCAAGAGTTAACTGCATTTTGTAGTTAAAAGAATTGCGCACTTGAAATAAACATAGATGAACATAGACGCGAGAAGAGTAGAAAATGTACGAAGACGCACATAACTTATGACGTTTTTGTAGTGTTACTAGGAGAAACCCTTAGAGCTAGATTCGTGACAACAACACAAAACGACTGCCCAGCCACACCATCGGCCTAACCCCAAGAAATCACAATCATAACATTCGAATTCAGGTTCCTGTTAACCCCGTGGATCGTGAACCACACAGTATAGAATGGAAGCCCGAAATTAATTGACGACGGTCACCGATAGCCAGTCAAAACAATTGTTGCCGCCAGAACATTGTCTATCCCTCCAAAGAAAGCTACAGTTCGACACATCCCTACTATCGGAAAGCTGAGTGACATTTGATGTTTGTTCAGAGTTATGTGGTGTAAATGATGAAACCGTGATTTATTTTCTCTGTGTTCAATTGAAGATTGTTGAAATTCTTAAACGGTATTTTATCAATACAGTTGTTGTTTAGAAAACTCAAATATCGAATTCATAGTATCAAATTCAACTTTCTGTGTAGACTAAAGATTGTTCATTGCAATTTATTTGAGTTAAAATTTATAAAGTATTGATCTTTGGGTTTTTTCCTGAATTTTGGAGAAAATAATTATGTACTCCATTCTATTCCGGGGATTCACCCTATTGATTTGATTTTCTGTATTTTCCTTCCTTTTTTTTTCAGAACTCAGGGACCATTAGAATTCCCCTAGACTTACTTAATTCGAGCCCTGTAAATTATTCGGAAGGATTATAGGGGATCTCCAGGCGACGATAAATTCCGCCAAACAAGTTTATTACACCCGCCAACTGCCATTTGATCAATAAAATACTATTTGAGTACTATATGTCCTTTACGCCTGAAGGTGGTTTTTCCCCTCCTCA